GGGGGTGGGGTGGGTTGGGCGGCGGGGGTCCGCGGGGGCGGCCCCTGTGGTTGTGGTGGCGGGCTTCGCGGTGGTGTGTTTGGCGGGGCTCCGGGGGGTGGATGGGTGGTGGTGGTGGTGGTGGTGGTTTGTGTGTGTGTGTGTGTGTGTGTGTGTGTGTGTGTGTGTGTGTGTGTGTGTGTTTCTTTGGTGGGGGGGGGGGGGGGGGGGCTTGCCGAGTAGGAGGGAGCCGAGCGAATTGAGGGCGGAGAGGGAGATGAGGGTGCCGAACGCGAAGCAAAGGATTGAGCCGAGCAGCCGCTGCCGATAGCTGAGGCCGGGGCAGCAGCTACACGCCTTGAGCCTCTCGAACGCTGTCTCGGGTTCGCGCGGCTTGTTGCCTACGGGGTGCGTCGCGGGTGTGTCACGGGCGGGTCAGCGGGAGGGGCCGCACCAAAGGTCTACTCGGCCTCCGAGGTACCCGCTCGGGTCGAGGGCAGTGAGGCCGGAGCCAAGGCTCGAGCCCATGCCGTGCAAGCTGTCTTGCAGGCCTCGCACCTTGTCCCAGCTGTTGCCGCCCATCGCCTGACGCGTTGTGGCGCACTGAAGACGGTGTGAAAAACGAGGCTGCGGCAGCGGTGGTCCGGGCCGCGCTAAGTTTGGCTTGCCTCTGCCTGCGACGACGGCACGAGCCTCTCCTGCTCGGACGCGCGGCCGGCCTGATGCAGACCGAGCCGCGCGAGGAAGCCTACGTGTGGCCTCGCAAGCTCAGACGCCGTGCAAACCGTGGAGCCCTCGCACCGAGTCGCTCGAGAGTGCCCGTCTGCCGGAGCTCCTCGCCGCCCGACTCGGAGCCGTCGTCGGATGCCTTCGGGTCGGAGAGCTTCGCGCTCGTCGCCGTGAGGCTAGCCGCCTACCCAAAGAGCGACGTCGATCAGAACTCAAAGGCGCGGTGCAGCCGGCTAGTGCGAGGAAGAGCCTGCAGCGAGGACGAGCCCGCCTCGACAGTGGAGCGCACCGACTCCTTAGCTGCCTGTGTGAGGGAGGAGCAAGCGGAGACGATCGAGCCGGCCTCGAGCTTGGAGAGGTCGATGCTCGCCATCGAGTCGCCCGCCGCACGCACGCGGTCCACCCCGCTCGTGAGCCCGCTCGCCATCGTCGTGAATCCGTCGCTGCCCACGCTCGCGCCCGCTGCCGCCATCTCCGCCGCCGCCGCTTTTGCCCGGTCCTGAGCACTACTGAGGCTTTCGAGCGCCGAGTCGGCCGCCATCGAGGCCATGAACCTGAAGGAGTCCATCCTCAGCGCCAAAAAGGTGAACACACAGAGGGTTTTTGCAGCGATCTACACTTGGTTCCACACTTGCTTCCACACTTTTCGCAAGTGTGGAGGGCCAGTCGAAAGTGTAGACCGTTGGCGACCCGACAGATCGGGGCCGAAAGTGTAGAACCGTTGCACACTCATGAGCACGACGCCCGAGGCGCAGGTGACGTCGGCGTCCTCGCCCCAGACCCCTCCCACGCCCCTCTGCTGACGGCCGCCTCGCCTCGCCCCCTCCTCAGGCCGCGACCGCGGCGCAACCCGCGCCCACCCCTGCGGCCGCCACCAACGGCAAGGCCGAGAAGGAGGTGAAGCAAATGAAGTGGACCTACGAGCGCGACGTGGCTCTCTTGACGCAAGTCGCCGCCGCCGGCCCGCTCGCCTGGCTGACGTCCAAGATGGGCTACTCCGGCGACCCCGAGCGCACGTACAACCAGGGCGCGGTCTGGGACAAGGCCGGCGAGGGCATCATCCCGCAGATCAAAACGCACGAGGCCTTCGCTGGCGTCACCACCTTCCCCGCGACGACCGCCTTCATCGTCCACACGAAGCGAGTCGTGCAAAGCAAGGCCAACCTCTACAAGTCGGGCGGCGAGCAGGCCGAGGACGCGCCGGCAGGCAGCCTGGGCACCAAGAACGAGGAGCTCTCCGATCTGGACCAGGTGATGCGCCACCGCCTCCCCTCACCCCCCTTCCCACTCCCTTCGCCCGCCCCCCTCCCTCCCCTCCCCTCTCCTCCCTCTGCCCACTCCGCGCCTTTCACTCGCACGCAGCTCATCATTGAGGTCGGCACGGCGATGGAGGAGACGGAGAGGATCGGGTGCGCAAACAAGGAGGGCAAGGCTCAGGCGGACGCCGACGTCGGCAAGGGAGCGCAGGCTCGCGAACGCCCCGGGGGTAGGGGGATTGAGGGGGCTAGGCTCGCCGCCTCGTTGACGCCCTGCACCCCCCCCCCCCCCCTCCTGCCTGCTCCCCCCTGCAGGCGATGCAGGACGCGCTCGCGAAGCGCACGTACCCCAAAGACGGCGACACCGGCAAGAAGGGGAAGAAGAAGAAGAGAGCCGGGCTCAGACTTAGACGCTGGAAGGCCGGGGGCCATGAACTTAGACGACATAAGGCCAACTCCGGGTAAAACCCGGGTATACCTGCAAAAGTCCAGGTTTACCCGAAAAATACCTGGACGCGGTCCCGACCAGCGTGTGCCGCGCACGACGCCATATCGCCGTCTCCCAGGGCCAGTGCGCTACTTGCGGCGCGCAACGCCTGCTCAAGTACGCGCACCGTACCATGTGCTGCCGCTATGCGTGCCTTAAGGCGGCTGCGGCGAAGCGGCGGGCGCGGCATGCCGATGGCAGTGCGGACGATGCGGTTGCGATGTGTTCTGCTTCAAGATCGTGGCGGTGCTTGGCATGCACTTCTGCGATCCCAATCAGCTCATCGCAACGAAGCAGCGCAACAAGCTGGCTGCTGCCAACAAGGCCCTATAGCATACACAGGCTTCTCTGACATGCGTTTGTTTGAGCTTGAGGCTATTTGTGAGAACTATTTGGCTAGATGTCGCCGAAGTGCGCTCAAGAAGCAGCAACGAGAATCGGAAGAGGAGGATGCTGAGGCGGCGATTGCTGAGCATGAGGAGGATCGATCGCCCGCCGCGCAGGCGAAGAAAAATTGGGCGCCAGCGCCGTATATCGCGTGCCATGGCCGACTTAGCCGGTGTAAGAGGCTCCCGCTGATCTTAGACCGCGTAAGCACTCCAGCGTGGCTAGCCACACTTAGACCCGTTAAGCCGCGAGGCTCAGAACTTAGACTACTACCCAACCAGTTGTGTGTGTGTGCCTGAGCCTGTCCCTGTCCGAGGGCGAGGCCCTGTGCGTCTCGTGCGTGCCGTGTGTGTGTGAGTGTGCCTCGAGTGTCGTGTGTGTCACGGGGTGTCCGCACAGTCCGGAGTCTTTGTGTGTCTGGACTCTGGTGAGTGGTGTCTGACCGCTGCGTGACCCTGTGAGCTGTGAATCAGCAGGCTGTGTGTGTGCGTTGGGGGTTTCTCGTTTAAAAAAAAATTCGCGTGCCGCCGCGCGGGTCCTTGAAACGGGTCAGCGTGAGACAACGAGCCAGCGCGCCAATGGTCGACGGAACCTCGAGGGGACGAGGCCGCCGCGACGCAAGATGCATCCATCTATCCCGCCTCCGCGCCGGCGGCACTGCCCTCGGCTTTAGCGCAGGGAGGAGGCACGGCACGATGCAAGCGTGGCGCCCGGTAGTGGGAGGCGCCTCACTCCTTCTTGCGGAGGTCGGCGACCTCCCCCTGCAGCTTCTGGTAGAGCTCGACCAGCTGGTTGTTTCGCTCCGTCAACGCAGCCACACGATCCGCCAGCGCCGCGACCGCAGCCTCACTGCTGGCGGGGACAGCGACGGCTGGTTCGGGGGTGGCTGGTACGGCGCCGGCGGAGGTGGCGGGGGTGGCGGTGACGGGGGTGGCAGTGACAGGGGTGGCTGGGACGGGAGTGGCGACGGGAGTGACGGAGACTGGCGTGGCAAGGACGGCCGCTACCGCTGGGACGCTGGGCATCCCAGCGGCAGGGACGGCAGAGACGGCGGGGACGGCGGGCGCTGGCTTGGGGGCCGCCGCCGCTTTGGGCTTGATGGCCACGGCGGCGGTTGCCGAGACCGGGCGTCCCGCCAAGGGCTTGGGGGCGGGAGTTGGCACTGTGGCAACGGGTGCCGATGCAAAGCGCCCGCCGAAGGGCTGGCTTGCAGCCTGCACCGAAGTGGGCGACCGCGCCGTGGGGGTGACAACACCGGCAGCGGCGGGCGCCGCAGCGGCGGGCGCCGCAAAGCCCTTGCGCCCCTTCCGCGCAGCCTCTTTGGTCCCCATGCGGCCGAAGGCCGGCGCTGGTGGGGACGGGCGCTGGGGCTCGTTGGAGTAGAGCGGCGAGGCCTCCCCAAATAGCCAGCCCACGGGCGAATCCTGGAGGTTCTCGAGGCCGCCGCTGAAGATTTGCGCCGCGCTGCGGCGCAGGAAGCCAGCCCGCGCGCTCGCCGCGCCTCCGGCGGGCGTCCCGGCGGCGGCGGCGCTGGCCGCCGACTCCCCCTCGAGCAGAGAAACAAGCGTGTTGACAAACAGGATGATGAAGGCCGCGCCGGCCACGACGCCCCCAAAGACGACCAGGGGGTCGGCGAGGCCAAACGACCCCGCGGCAGCCGCCGGCTCGGCGAGATCGGAGAAGCCAGCCGATGCTGAGGCGAGCGGTGCGACGGCTGCGGTTCCCTCGTAGGCCGGCGGCGGCGCGGCCGCAGCGTTGGCAACCTGCGACGCGATATCGGCGACGTCGAGCGCGTCCAGCATGCTCGGCGAGCCAAGCCGCGTCGCGACGCGGGGCACGGATCGCGCGAGGAGGCAAGGGGCCCGCATTGGGGATCTGTCGGGATCGTGAAGAACTTGGGTTCGCCTCCTGTGCGTCCCGGGGTGCCGCCGACCTTCCGCGCTCGCCCCTTCTTCGTTTCGCCGGCATTGCAAAAGTGATACCAACATACCACCACCGGGGGCGCGGCGGGGGGGGGGGGGGGGGGGCTCGGCAAAGCGAGAGCAGGCCAGGAGACAGATCACCCAGCTTGACTTCCCTTCGACCCGGATACCGATGACTACGATTCCGATGGCAGCAGCGGCGAGGAGGACTCTTAGGCGGCTGCAGCCAAGCTTGAGCGGCTATCCGAGCGGTTCAGCAACAACTGGGCCGCTCAGCAGACATGCTGGAGGCGGGAGCGCCTCGCACAAGCATGGCAAAGCGGGCTGCTGCTGCCGTTGCGTGGGATCAGAAGCGGTGCCCGGCGTGACGCGGAGAGTTCGAGCGCGTCATGGCAATGCGCGAGCGAGACGAGCTCGACTACTTCTCGCAGTCGCCGCACGCCGGCACCAAGATCCTCCCCGTGGACACTGCGTGAGGCCAAGCACCTTGAGGCGGACGCGGTCCGCACGCTCGGCGTCAACGAGCTGAACATGTACGAGCCTACTTCTCTGGCTTCGCTCCATTCACGGGCAGCCTCGTCGAAGCCAGCGCATACTTCCGAGGTGGCCAGTGCGACAAGGATCTTAGGGACCCCTAGGCTTAAAAGGGTGGGCCCTGGGGCGCCTGCGGCTTAAACGGCTCAAAACCTGCCTAGGCAGGTTTTAAGAGCTGCTGGGCCGCCGAATCATTAAACGGCCTTAAACGCTTAAAAGGTGCGGGAGAGCTCCCGAGGTCGATGGCGTCCGGAAGAGGCTCCGACCCGGAAGACGCCGGAGCCCGGGAAGCTGGCTACAGTCAGCTAGCACGCGTCCCCTATGTGAGTCTCTATGGGCTCCTGCCAGTGCACCAGACTTACAGATGTGTCTTCAGAGGCGGGTTTGTGCCACCTAATAACGGCAGTATTGGAGAAAACGCTAAACGGCGCGGAACCCAGCGACGCGTGCTGGTGAGGCCGATTTTCTTGAACGGTCTTAAAAGAGGACCCCCCCTGCCTGCAATCTCTTAAATGGTAATTGAAGCCCCCAAACCTCCTCACTTCTTAAAAGCTCTTTAAAAAATCCGGCCCTCAGAACCCTAGGGGTCCCCTAAGACAAGGATTGGCTCAGCGACGAGCCATGCTGGCTCGTCGCAGGCAGCGAGCTCGAAGACCCGCTCGGAGCTTCGCCGAGCCCGGCGGGCCCGCCCGCACGCCCCCGGCCGCGACATGGAAGACAAGCTTCCTGGCGTCTCTAGCCAGCGCTCACATGCCAAAAGGCACCTCGCAGCGCGCGAGACGTGACCGGAGCGGTACCGCCTCGGCGCCGCGAGAGCAGCCGGTCGGCGTGGGCACCAAGCGCGCGGCCGCCGGGCGCCTTCGCACCGGCAGGGGCGCCGCGGCAGCAGAGATCCCTCCACCCACCATTAATTACCGTTTTTTGGCGGTACAGCTCGGACTTTCTCTCACGAGAAGAAGACTCGCACGACTCGCGCCTCGCTGTCAGCCTATGCTCACCTGACTGTGTGTCACAGTGATTTTGATAAAGAGTTTAAGACTGATATTAAGAGAAAAAGAAACGACGGACCGCTCAAGGGACCATTGGGTTTGTACTGGTAGGTAGGTAGAAAGGTGAAGAACAGCCAGGCTCGGACTGGACACCAACGCGGTATGGGTGGACGCTAGACAGATGATGACGACACGCACGAGCGACACACAGACACAAACAGGCTCACAAGACACACAGCCAGCTGGCTGCCACACACCCTGAGTAGGCGTACACATAACTCAGGGCTTTCTACTATTAACAACGAAGGCGCTCTCAAAAGAAACTGGCCGCTTTACTGTCGGCCAAGTCGCGCGAAAACAACATTTATATATATGCTGACCGCCGCTCCGCTCGCAGCGCGCTCTGCCATCGCGCTGTGCTCTTTGGCTGCGGCCGGGCGTGGTCATTTGGGCGTGGTCATCCGGGCCGCAAACCTGACGGATCCTGGCGACTGCGAGGCGCTCTGCTGCGTGCGCAAGCCCGTCGAGTTTGTCGTCGAGCAGGGCTCAAAGGGCTTCCTGGGCCAGGTGGCGGTTCTCGAGCCAGAGGTGGCGCGGAGGCGGCGCGTGCAGGCGCGGCTCGGCTCGGCCATTCGAGACAAGGCGAGGGTGCTGATCGCAGCCGACGCCGGCGCCGCGGAGCTGGCCGTGATTGGGACGGTGGACTGCGTCGCGCTGCCCGCCGGCAAGGGCCGGCGCGCCATGGGGCCCGAGCTTCCGCAGCGGCTGCTCATCCGCAACCTCTGGGTCGCCGAAGCTTTCCGCCGGCAGGGCATCGGCCGGCGGCTGATGGACGCCGCCGAGGAGCTGGCAGCCGAGATGCACATCGAGTTTTTGAGCCTCGACGTGCTTGCGGACAACGAGCCGGCGCGGCGGCTGTACGAGGGCCTCGGCTTCACCGACCTGGAGCCGCCGCCGGTGCCCGTGCCCAACTGGCTGCGCGGCGCGCTGTCACTGGGCAAGGCGCTGGCGCCCCCGGGTGTCACGGCAGAGGGGTAAGGTAAGGTAAGGTAAGGTAAACGTCTCCACACACACAAAGTGGTGGGGCAAGGGGGGGCGACCCTCGCATCTCCACGCCCGGGACACGGGCAGGAGCCCCACGGCATTCAAAGTGCAAGCACCGGCCCGGTGCCGTGGGTGAGCAACCTGCACCCCCCACTCCTACTCCTATAACACAACCCCCACAGCGTGGTCGTCTACGTGTTCAGAAACACCAAGCAGCGAGGCGAGGGTGAAGGGGTAAGGGGCTGTGTGGGGCTATCTGTGACCATCTAGCCTGGGGGGTAGCAGGAGGGGGGGGCAGAGGGTAAGATATGGGTGAGGCCAGCTACAAGTCGGACGCCCTCCCGTCGTCGGAATAATCCTCGGAGCGGTCAGCGTCCTCGTCGTCGTCCTCGGTCTGCATCGCGTCGCCAGCCGTGAACCTGAACACGGCGTCGGCCGGCGCCGAGGCGCCGGCGGCCGTCATCAGGTGCATGACTATGCGGTCGCGGTATGCCGCATCGATCTCTCCGTGCTCGGCCAGCTCTTTCGCGAGCCAGTCCGAGGCGACGGTCGTCGCCACGGTCCCCTGGGGAACTGTGGCGTACACCTTGCTGGGGCCGCGTCGATACCCGTCGTCCCTCTCCGGGGGCAGCGAGTATTCGACCCCCATTTTGGACCCGGCCTGGCTGCGCGCCTGCGCAGCTGCAGACCGCAGCCCGGCCATCACGTACTGGATGTTCTCGCGCAGCTGCGCCCGCGGGGCCTCCGCGCGCTCGGCCTCGCTCGCGGCGCGCTCGCCAGCCTCCGTCGCCCGGCGCGCCTTCTGCCGGTCCTTCTTGGCCTTGCGTGCCGCGGCTCGAGCCGCGAGCTGCTCCTTGGTGGGCTCCTTCTTCTTCGGCGCGGTGCGCTCGATGTACGAGCGCTCCGCCGCCTGCACCGACTCGCGGTCGCCCGCGGCCTTCTCGTGCTTCAGGTCGACCTCGATGGTCGCGTAGCCAGGCCTTATCACCCTGACACAAGACGCACCGAACAGCCTTGCGACACTCACCGCGTCCTCCAGTTGCGCGCGATCGGAGCTATTCCAGCGTCCGCTGCGCATCCCCGGCGGCACGACGGTGGCCGGCGCTTGCGCGCCAGCCCCGTCCGCCGCCGGGTCCGCGGCCGCGGTCCCTGTCATAGCTACGCGCGCCATGGAGAACGGCGGGCACTTGCAGAGGGGTCCACTGAGATGCGCCCGATGTGAAAGAGGCGGTGCGCTAGTGTCGGCTGAAATCCTCAACGTTGTTCAAGTGTTCACCATGCTGTGGCGTGCACGTGCGACGTGGCCCCGTGGCGGTGTGGCTGTGGGCGTCTCAATATCGATAAAATAAAAGGCTCCGCATGGGTACAATGGAGGAAATTTAAGTTTCCACAGTAAGAAAGAAATAAAACAGACAAGCCAAGGGAGAGAAGGGGAAAATAAAGAAATCAAGCTGACAACCCAAGGGAGGGATGGGAGGACGGCACGCCGCCACCACACAGGGATTTTAAGGTGCGGAGTGTGGTGCGCTAGCCGTCGCCCACCCTTGGGCGTCCGCCTCTTCCTATCTCTCTTCGCAGTCTCTCGCCGATTCTCGCTGCAACCTTCATGCCACCTCGCGGTCGTCCCACTCTCGTCGTTCTCTTTCTTGTCGCTTCCTCCTCTGTCGCGTCGCTCTCGTCTGCCTCGTTCAGCGACGCCGCCCTGCCGCGAAAATTCTTTTCGCACCCCAAAGGGCATCGAGGCTGGACATGACTGGTGAGCCACGTAGCGCCGCGCCGGCGCCGCCCGTCGCGCCGCCATGGGCAGTGAGTCGAGACGTCGTTGGAGCGACGCGCCCCCGGCGTCAGCGCTCCGGGCTCCGCTGCATCGCTCCGCATGCGCGGCCGGCCTTGCGTGACCGCGCTCTCTCTGCGCAGCCTCTCTCTGTCTGAACCTCTGCCCCCGCCCCCCCCCCGCGACGTACAGAGGAGACAAAGACCATTGTGACGGAAGACGGCACCGTCGAAACTAACTACGATGAGGGTGCGCATCCGCCCGCGGCGGTGGCCCTCCGGCACTCGGCCAGCCGCTGAGAGACGGCCGCACCCACCCTGCAGTCATCGAGAGCTTCGATGACATGGGCCTCAAGGAGGACCTCCTCCGCGGCATCTACGCCTACGGCTTTGAGAAGCCGTCGGCGATCCAGCAGCGCGCCATCAAGCCGCTCATCATGATGCGCGACACAATCGCGCAGGCGCAGTCGGGCACGGGCAAGACGGCCACCTTCACCATCGGCCTGCTCCAGAACATCGACATCGCCAACCGCGACTGCCAGGCGCTGATCCTCGCGCCGACGCGCGAGCTCGCCACGCAGATCGTCAAGGTCGTTATGGCCATCGGCGATTACCTCGGCATCACCACCATGGTGCGCCCTGTGCGAGAAGCCGCCCGGTGCAGGCGCCGGCTCGCCTCCAGGGCCTCCGTTCGCGCCCCGCTAGGCGTGCATCGGCGGCACCAACGTGCGCGAGGACATGAGCAAGCTGCAGAACGGCGTGCAGCTGGTGGTCGGTGCGCCCGCGGTTGGGTGGGGAGAGGGCGGCGACGCTTGGGCTGTCCCCAGCGGAGCGCTCCGCTGGGAAGGGAGGGGGGGGGGAGCGATCGGAGGGGAGGTGCGATCGAGCCCACCCGCCCTCCGCTCCAGGCACGCCGGGCCGTGTGTTCGACATGATCAACCGGCGCGCGCTCCGCGTCGACTACATCCAGTACTTCGTCCTCGACGAGGCGGACGAGATGCTCTCGCGCGGCTTCAAGGATCAGATCTACGACGTCTTCCAGAAGCTGCCGCCGACGGTGCACGTCGGCCTCTTCTCGGCCACCATGCCGACGGACGTGCTCGAGCTGACCACCAAGTTCATGCGCGACCCGATCCGCATTCTGGTGAAGCGCGACGAGCTGACGCTCGACGGCATCAAGCAGTTCTACGTCATGGTCGAGCGGGAGGAGTGGAAGCTCGACACGCTCTGCGACCTTTACGAGACGCTGACCATCACGCAGGCGATGATCTTTGTCAACACGCGCCGCAAGGTCGAGTGGCTGACGGAGAAGATGCACGCGCGCGACTTCACGTGCTCGGCGCGTCTGCCCGATGCCACGCTTACCGCCCTCTCCTTCGCCTCACTCCTCGCCTGGCCTCCCCCCCCCTCCCCCCCCCCCGCGCGCGCGCGCGCGCGCCTCGACCCCCCCACCCCCCGTCCTCACTAATTGCCGCAGGCCATCCACGCCGACTTGGACCAGAAGGAGCGCGAGGTCATCATGCGGGAGTTCCGCTCGGGCAGCAGCCGCGTGCTCATCACCACCGATGTGCTCGCACGAGGCATCGATGTGCAGCAGGCGCAGCTGCGCGCCAGCGCTCCCCCCACTCCACTTTTCCGGGCGCCTTGAAGACCACTGCTGAGAACGTAGGTCTCGCTCGTCATCAACTACGATTTGCCGACGAACCGCGAGAACTACATCCACCGCATCGGTAGGGGCGGCCGGTTTGGTCGCAAGGGTGTCGCCATCAACTTCCTCACAAACGACGACGTGCGCACGCTGAGGGAGATCGAGCAGTTTTACAACACGCAGATTGACGAGATGCCAATGAACGTGGCCGACCTTATCTAATGTGGGGGCCGGCGGCGGCCTAGGACCGCCCACCCCCAAGCACGCTGGCCGCTTCTCTCTCCGCGCATCGCAAGACCCAGTGTGGCCGTTTGCCGCGCGCAGAGCCGCTCCTGCGCGAAGCGCGGGTGGCTCGTACAGCAAACAGCGCACTTCTCGCGGTCGCTCCGCGCACACCTACAGCCGCGCTGTGCATGCCACCCGCACCCCCCCTTGTGTCTGTTTTGTCCTGTGACGCTGCGGTCGTGTAGCGGGGTCTTCGAAGGAGCTTTCCGCGAGATCACCATGCTCTAACCTCTCTATGCCGAGACGCGAGAGACTCGAGAGCGAACTGCGGCAATACTCACAAACGCTCGGCCCGGCGTCTCTCAGCGAACACCGCGCGCTTGGGGCGTTGGGCGGTGCTTCCGATGGCGATGTGCCCGAGCGTGTGGCCATCCGCACACCGCAGGACGGGCGTATGACTATGAGTGTGCGACGTATGTGGCGCAGAGAGATTTTTCATGGCGGATTGCGGGGAGAAGGAAGTGCTCAGAAGAGGTCATACGGTACATTGATGCACATAGAGGTCATCGAGCACCGCCTGTCTGCTGCTCTCGGTTCTCTCGCGCGCGCGCCCGCCCCGCACACACTGCATCGGCGCCGGGAAACGACCGCCGGCGCGTCGTTAAGGATCACCATGTCCCACCCCGCTGCCACACTGCAGCTCTCTCTCCGGCGCGCCCAGCCTGCACGCATGGCAATCGCAAACACCTTCTCCCAGCCCGCTGCTGCGCGTCGAGGGGGAAACCCTGCCGAACCCCGGACCCCCCCCCCCCCCCCC